TCACATACTGTGGGCATATTGTCAGAAGGAGCCAGTCCTTAGAAAAAGACATTATGCTTGGAAAAGTGGAGGGTCAGAAAGAGACAGGAAGGCTCTCAATGAGATAGACTCAGACAATGACTGCAACAGTGGACTTGAGCATTGTGAAGATGGTGCAGAGAAGGGCAAGGTTACAAAGGGTCACTATGAGTCAAAGTAAACTAGATGGCACGTACCAGCAACAACTAAACAAAGTGAAAACATGTCATATGCATCACACATCTTTGTAGGTAGGACCAGAAATACAATTCCTTTGGAGCTTTTACAGAATTGTTTATGAAAATTTGCACAGCTTTGTCCTTAAAAACCTGCACAACATCTTGAGATAATTTTTTTTCCAAGAAAGCACTTAGTTGACCATTTATAGTTGGAGGTATTTTATTTTTGAAGTCCCAGTGCTTTATAAATGACTATGTTCTATAGAAATGAAAAGCAAGATATTGTAGAAAAATAAAGTCAGAAAATTTTTCACAGCAGCTTTATTTATAATTGGGGAGAATAGGATTTAATATGTTATTGTTGTGTTATTTTATGCTGTCAAGTCAGAACTCAACCCTTTAGCAGGTTTAATATAGTTTGTTGGGTCTTTTTAAATAATTACTATAAAGACTTTGCCTTATAGTTCTATCTAATACGTGTGTTGGTGTTATTGTTGTTGAGATTTTAGTGAATGTTTATAAAGACCTTGGATTTCCATTCATTCATTGTTGGACATTTTCCTCCCTGCCCCCCAGTTTACTTTTTCTTGGGGGGGGAGTCCTTTCATTGTTATAAGCTCCCCACCACCAACACTTTGCTATGCAGCTCTAAGTCTGAACTCATGTCATGCCAATAACACCTAATCATATGTTCCTTTTATACAGTTCTCTCCCTCCTCTCTTTCAATGCTGTGTATGTTATTTATCCCCTCTTTCATTAGTTTTCCCCGATGTAATTCCTGTTTTATAACAGTGGCATTATGCAGTATTTGTCCTTTTGTGAGTGAGATGTTTCACTCAGCGTAATGTCCTACAGGGTCACCCATTTGGTACAATATTTCATGAGTTCCTTGTTTTTCAATGCAGTATAGTATCCCATTGTGTGAATATACCACAGCTTCTCTAGCCATTTGTTTGTTGATGAGCAGTTGGGTTGTTTCCAACTCCTTACTATTGTGATCAAAGAAGCAATAAACATGAGTGCATATATCTATCTGTTTGGGTGGCAGTTCTGCTTTCTTGAGAGTATATTCCTAGTAGTGGAATTGTTGGGTCAAATGGTATTTCTATTTCCAACTTTTTGAGAAAGTGCCATACTGCCTTCCAGAGTGGTTGCACCATTTTAAATTTCTACCAACAGTGAATAAGAGTTCCAGTTTCTCCACAACCTCATCAACATTTGTTGTTCGCTGCTCTGTTGAATTTTGCTATTGTTACTGGGGTGAGATGGTATCTCATAGTTGTTTTGATATGCATCTCTCTTAGAGCTAGGGATTTTGAACATTTCTTCATGTGTTTCATTGCCATCCTAATATCTTTCTTGGTGAGGTGTCTGTTCATATCCTGTGCACATTTTTCAATTGGATTCTTTACCTTTATCTTGTTGTGGTGCTTCAGTATTCTATAAATTCTAGATATAAGTCCCTTATCAGACATATCATTACCAAATTTTTTTCCCAGTCTGTGGCTTCCCTTTTTTACCCTGTTGGAAAAGTTTTTGGATGTGCATAGGGATTTGATTCTTAGAAGGTCCCATTCATCTATTTTATCCTTTCCTGGTTGTAAGTTTTTCAGGACGCTTGGAAGACTGTTAATGTTGTGGATTAGTGCTGCTAGGGTTCTTCCAAGCTTTTCTGTAATGAAGTTTATAGTCCTTGGTTTTAGTCGTAGGTCCTTGATCTACTTTGAGTTGGTTTTTGTATATGGTGTGAGGTGTGAGGTGTGAGTATTGTTTGAGTTTTCTGCAGATGGCTTTCCAATTTTGCCAACACCATTTGTTTAAAAAGGCTCTCATTTCCCCACTTAACTGATTTCATCTCCTTGTCAAAAATCAGTTGACCATAGGTAGATGGGCTGATTTCTGGATTCTCAATTCTACTCCATTGATCTATGTGTCTGTCATTGTACCAGTACCATGCTGTCTTGACCACCATGGCAGTGTAGTATGATTTTATATCAGGGAGTTAGATGCCTTCTACCTTATTTCCCTTTTTCAAGAGTGCTTTGCTTATTAGGGGTCTTTTTCCATTTCAAATGAAATTAGATATTTCCTTTTCCATCTCATTGACGAATGGAATTAGTATTTGCATTGGGATTACATTGAACGTGTAGATTGTCTTTGGTAGGATTGTCATTTTCATGATATTGAGTCTTCCTATGCATGAGAAGCACTGATGTGTCAAATGCAATAATAGTCATCCACGGTGGACAGTGTTTGGTGGAACTCCCTGAATAAAACAAGCTTGGAAGCAAAAGTGGCATCCACTTCTGAAATAGCTTGCCTCTGGAAACTCTATGAACATGGAGAAACAAAGTTATACAAATGTTCAAGTCTTTTGTTCGTAGGGTCACTATGAGTCATCTATGATGCAACAGCACCTAACAACAACAACAATCCATGAGCAAGGTATATTCTTCCATTTCTCCAGGCTTCTTTTTGTTTCTTAAAGTAATGTTTGTAATTTTCTTTGAATAGATTCTTTGTGTTTCTAGTTAGATTTACTCCCAAGTATTTTATCTGTGATCAGCTATTATGATGGATATTGTTTTTCTTAGCTTCGGTTCTATATTATCTTTGTCACTGTAGAGATATCCAATTGATTTTTGTATGTTGAATTCTGCCACTTTGCTGAATTGGTCAACTATTCCTAGTAGTTTTCTTTCTGAGTCTTTAGGGTTTTCTAAGTATACTATCATATCATGTGCATATAAAGATAATTTTACCTTCTCTTTCCCAATTTGGATACCTCTTATTTTCTTCTCTTGTCCACTAAAACTTCTAATGCAATATTAAATAAGAGAGATGATAGTGGGCATCCTTGCCTAGTTCCTGTTCTCAAAGGAAATGCCTTTAACCTCTCTCCATTGAGAACAATGTTGGCTTTCAGGTTTGCGTATATACTTTTTACTATGTTGAGGAAATTCCCTTCTATTCTTATTTTATTGGGTGTTTCAGGAAAGGGTGTTGAATTTTGTCAAAGGCCTTTTCTGCATTAATTGATAGGATCATATGGCTCTTGTTCTTTGCTTTGTTAATTTGATGAGTTACAATGATTGTTTTTCTTATGTTAAACAGTCCTTGCATACCTGTTATGAATCCCACTTGGTCATGGTGAATTATCATAAAAAAACAGATCATAACAAACTGTGGCTGGCTCTGAGAAGAATGGGAATCCCAGAACATTTAATCGTGCTAATGTGAAACCTATACTTGGACCAAGAGGCAGTCGTCAGAACAGAGCAGGGTAACACTGCATGGTTCAAAATTGGGAAGGGTGTGCTCCAGGGATGTGTCCTGTCTCCATACCTTTTCAACCTGTGTGCAGAGCAGATTATACGAGAGGCTGGTCTATGAGGAAACGTGCGGCAGTAGGATTGGTGGAAGATCTGTCAACAATATGCATTATGCAGATGACACAACCTTGCTCTCGGAAACTGAGGAGGACCTTGTGCACTTACTGCAGAGGTTCAAGGACTGCAGCCTTCAGTATGGACTGAGGCTCAATGTCAAGAAGACAAAGATTCTCACCACTGGACCAATTGGTAGCATCAGGATGGATGGCGAAGAGATTGAGATTGTTCACAGCTTCAGTTTGCTCGGCTCCACAGTCAACACTCTTGGCACCAGCAGCCAGGAAATAAAAAAAAGTATTGCGATGGGAAAGTCTGCTGTTAGGGACCTCTCCAAAGTACTCAAGAGCAATGGTGTCTCTTTGGAGACAAAGGTGCGCCTGATACAGGCCATGGTCTTTGCAATAACTTGTTATGCATCAGAGAGCTGGACAATGACTAGGGCGGACAGAAGGAGAATTGAAGCCTTTGAGCTGTGGTGCTGGAGAAGAGTATTGAATGTACCATGGACTGCCAAGAAAACAGATTCATCCTTCTTGTTGTTGTTATGTACCGTCGAGTCATTTGCGACTCATAGCGATCCTATGTACAACAGCCCTAAACCCTGCTCTATCCTGTGCCAATCGCATTACCTCTGACACACCCATCCCGATTACCCCATCACCGAATCAATCCATCTCATAGAGGGTCTTCCCCTCCTGTGCTGTACCTCTGCTCTACCCAGCATGATGTCCCTCTCTAAAGACCTGTCTCTCCTTATAACATGTCCAAAGTATGTCAGACGAAGCCCCAGAATCCTTGCCTCCAAGGAGCAGCCTGGTTGAACCCTCTCTAGGATGAATCTGTTGTGGCTCAAAAATATGATAATTTTATCCACCAGATGCTCTGCTGGAGAAGGAGAGGCAGTCTCTTCCTGTAACAGTCAGATCTGATTTGATGGTACACAAAAAAAAATAATAACAATATGATAATTTTAAGTGAAGAAGATTGATACAAAAAGTAAATGCACACAAAACAACTTCACGAAAATGAATGTTACTCAAAGGTCAGGGCTAACCTTATCTATACAAAATGGTAATTAGTTTTCATTTTTTCCCCTCAAAGTTGCTCAAATTAAAAATAAAGTAAGACATTTCTATTTTAGAAACAATACAACTTCCCAATTCTTCCTGAGTCAAGTGGTTAAGCATTAGAATTTCAACATTTTCCTTTAGGTAATTCTTTGGACATCTTTCTTCAAACTCTTTAAAAACACACACACCCAAAACAATGTCAGTGTTCCAGCAAACACTTCCTGCTTTACACATAGTTGAAAGGGTGGAGCAAACAAATAAGCAAGAAGGAAGTGAAAAGATGTTAAATACTGAGATCTGCTTGCTGTGGTCAGCCAAGTGATCTGACTTCCTAGTCATCATGAAGGCTCTCCTTGTTCTGGGGGTTCTCTTCCTTTCAGTCACTGTCCAGGCCAAGGTCTATGAAAGATGCGAGTTTGCCAGAATTCTGAAGCGAGAGGGAATGGATGGCTTCCACGGAATTAGCTTGGCCAACTGTAAGTCCATGCTTCTTTGTACTTACACAGAATTATCCAGCGAGGAAAGACGAATGAGGAAAGGATGGAGAATAAGAAAGATGTTTTAGTTATTTAGTGCTGCTATGATAGATGATAGAAGGAGAATTGATGCCTTTGAGCTATGGTGCTGGAGAAGAGTGTTAAATATACCATGGACTGCTAGGAGAACAAACAGATTTGTCCTAGAGAGGGAGAGACCAGGCTGCTTCTTGGAGGCAAGGATTCTGAGGCCCGTCTTGGAGAGGGACATCATGCTTAGGAGGGTGGAGGGACAGCACTAAAGAGGAAGATTCTTGATGAGATGGATTGATTCAGTGACTGGGGTAATGGGAGTAAGTGTGTCAGAGACAGTAAGATTGGCATAGGATAGACCAGGGTTTAGGGCTGTTGCATGTAGGGTCGCTATGAGTCAAAGGTGATTAGATGGCACATAACAACAAAAGAAACATGACAGAAACACCACAAGTCAGTGGTTTTTGGAAAGAGAAGTGTGTATTTCACATTGTTGTGAAGTGCCAGATTAGCAGTTTCTGGGCTTGTTTTTTGTTAGATGCCACTGGCTCCAACTCATAGTAATCCTGCGGACAACAGAAGAAACATTACTCAATCCCACATCATCTCTCTCACAATATAGGAGTTAAAAAATTCAGGGCACCAGTTCTAGGGAAATGTATTTCTTTCCTTTCAGCATCTGTGGACCTTGCATGTTTTTAATCTTTCATTGGACCTGGGAAGTTTTCAGTGAATCCATGATCCAAAAGATATAATCTACTCCTGGTTCTGATTTCTTGGTACTTGGGAAGTCCCTCTCTGCCTACTTGTCTCTTCTTTTATCTCTTGTAAGAGAAAATGTTTAAGAACACACCTTGAGTTAAGGTGAGATAACCACACAATTCTGGGCATCATGGCCTAGCCAAGTTGACAAATGTTTTAAAATATTCCTTTAGGAATTTCAAGAACACTTCTATCTTTTAGGAAAAGAAAAAAAAAATCTTATTATCTTAATCAAAAGCATTTCCCCACCTCCATGCCCATCATCCCAAGAATCCCTGGGTTAATGTACTCAGCTACTGAAAAGTTGGAGACTTGAGTCCACATAATGATGCCTTAGAAAAAAGATTGGCTACATACTTTTGGAAAAATCAACCATCAAAAAAACCCTATAAAAAAAAAACCACAACAACAAACCAACCTATGGAGCACAGATCTACTCTAATACACACTAGTTCACCATGAGTTGGAATTGACTAGAAGGCAAATGGTTTACTTATCACCTATGTGTTTAAAAAAAAAAATCCATGAACAACTCTATTGATGTTTAACATATTTTGCAAGGAGAATATGCTTTCATAGACACAGTTTATTTGATTTGATGTTACTTGCTTATTACTTTTCAGGGATGTGCCTGGCCAAATGGGAGAGTAATTACAACACCCGAGCAACAAACTACAATCCTGGAGACAGAAGCACTGATTATGGGATTTTCCAGATCAATAGCCGCTGGTGGTGCAATGATGGCAAAACCCCAAGAGCAGTTAATGCCTGCCGCATATCTTGCAACAGTAAGACATAATAAATTATGAGTGATGGCATAGGGCCTGTTTGTCAGGATACACTTGTTAAAGATTTGATACAGAAGAAAAAGCCCTGAAGGGATTTGTTGAGGATCCCAGAAAAGTCCATCACAAGTTCCATGTATTTCTTAAAGTTATATTATGGATTTGTTTATTTGGGTTGAAACAACTATTTTCTTGAACTTATATAAAAATAATATATGCTTTCTTAGTGCATGAGATTAAGTGTTGCAAAAATTTATATTAAGATTTTAACTCTAAAAACAAAAACAAAAAAATTTTAACTCTTTATTAGAGAGATTAACTTTAGAATATTCTTTAAAAATCTAGTTAATATAATTTCTAAGTATTTTGTATTATATAATAATCTGGGGCCATAAAATAAAAATTAGAATGTATCAAGAAACAAAATCACCTATTATTTTAGTTTTGCTACCTAGAAATTGATAATCATTGTTCCTTGATTTTTAATATATATTTTTCAATAATATATATTGATTACATATATGAATGTGAAGTCCTGTCATTCATGTTTACTCACACATAAATGCTTAAACAATGCATATATTTACAAGAAGAATTACTTTTTTTATACCTTGTTTTTCATTATTATAAAGAAAGTATTTTCTTATTAGAAAGTATTTCATGACAACAAATACAACTCTGTATCACCATTTTAAGGATGTACAGAATTATATTACATGCATATTAATACAATTAATTGACCGAAGTCTTACTAGAAGCATGTTTCTATTTCACTGTTTTATAAACTACTAGCAAAAGATTTGCCCCTATATCTCTCTGAGCTCTTTTTATTTTTTTAAGAGACTTTGGATTTCCATTCATTCATTGTTGCATATTTCCCTCCCTTCCTACACCTCCCACCATCTCTGGGCTTATTTCTTACTACTTCTTTAGAAAAAAAATTCCGAGGTGTGGAATTGCAAAATAAAAAATTTCTCAGGTTTCTTTCACATTGGCTAGCACAAGCAAGACCTAAGATAATATTATTTAATAATTAATAACTCCAGAATTTTAATGATTTTGGTAAATGATAAACAGAATACTTTGTCTTATGTCAAGTAGGATGAGATGAAGAGAATAGTCCCCTCCTTTTCACAACATGTGGACTCTTGGGAAAGAACTTTCTAGTAGGTGTCCTAAGCCTACTATTTTAACACTGGCCATAAACTTGGAGACTTTTCTGAAAGCTATTTTCATTCCTCACTGCCTCTTTTTCAGCTTTGCTGCAAGACGATGTCACTCAAGCTATAAAATGTGCGAAGAGGGTTGTCAGTGATCCACAAGGCATTAGAGCATGGTAAGTTTTCAAGTGTTAAAGTGTTTGCCATACTAGGTATTGTAGAGAATAGATTTTTTCAAAGGCCAAAGTATGCTATTGAGATCTAAAACTTGTATTTTTACGTTTATGCAGAACAAATATATTCATTTGATCCTGAATAAACAATCTATCTTAACTAATTCAGAATCCTATTCTTGGCCTTGCCAATGTATTTTAGGCATTTTCTAGAGTTTTTAGGTGCAATTTGCTAACTCTGAAAACCCACAAGAGGGTCAACACTGAGTGGGTTCAGACTTGATGACACTTGATAACACCACCACCACCACCACCACCACCACCACCACAATATATATTTACAACACAATGTCTGTTTGTCCTGTCGTGAAATTATTTCCAGAATAAAAACATATGTAATGCATTTTGAAGTTGTTGATGTAGAATACGTAGAATACAACATTTGCATTCTGCATTCTGATGTTCTAGTGTTCTGAGGACATTGAGAAAGAGTGAAGTGCTTTTTTTTATACATAACTCCACTTAATAAACAATAATCCTTGAATATATCTGTAAATTTTTATGTTTTGTGATAATACTCTGTTTCCTTAAGAGAGTTGACGTGTATAATTATGATGAAAATACTTTAACATTTTCCTGGTTTGTTTGGCCTTCCTTTACAGGGTGGCATGGAGAAACCGCTGTCAAAACAGAGACCTCACTGAATACATCAAAAATTGTGGAGTCTAATTTCAGAGTTTTCATTCTTCAACTCACTGTTGCTTCTTTTTTATATTAAGATAGTAGTAAAAAGTGCAAGGCTACACTACCATTCTTCTCTCTGCAAATGAGGAATTTCTTTATGGAAGCAGAAACAAAACAATCACTTTTCTTCTATGAGGCTTAATGATTAATAACACATGTACTCCTTGGTATTACAATTAGAACATAGCTCAGTTTGCTTAAAAGTACTAATACCAGTCAAAATTAATCTAAAATCTTAGTTAAGATATATATCTCTAGTACATTCAATTCTTAACTAAAAAAAACTCAAAACACAACAAAACTCAGGCTTACTTTGAATAATGTTATTAGTCTGTAATTTTAGATAAAACACAATTTCAAACTGTCTTAAATTGATCTTATACAGAATTCCACTTGCCTAAGGCATATGATGCCAGCAACTGTGTTAGTCATCTCTTAAAACAGGAAAGATGGAGACTCCTGGTAGAAAAAAAAAAATTTCAAAGTATAGAATATCAAGTGAAGAATGCTAATACCAAGGATTTTGTTTTCAGGCAGAATATGACCTTTACTTTAGATATTTTTAAAACTATTGCCTTTATGCAACTTTACAAACAGACTCAGATTTTCTATTTCAATCTGTCTTAGTCTTTTAAAAAAACTCTTATGTGCATCATGCTGATCCTGGGGGAATTTAAGGAAAGATTGGATGAGCTGTGCCATTCTTTACTTTTATTAATATAAAAAAAAAGATTCTTGCATCAGACAAGATGTAGAAAGCAGGTGTGTTTCCAAGTATTCAAACGATTGCAAGTTAGCAGCAAAATTATGCACATTGTCAAAAAAATGCGAACGTGTTCATTAAAGGCTTTGCAACTCACACCTTGTCTGTCTTTGTTTAAGGGGGAAAAAATGAAAAAAGTAATTTGGCACTCTTAGTAAATTTCCTTCATCCTCACTTGCACCCCAAGCAGCTGGGTATGGATGGGGGGAGGGGGGCGGGAAATCCCAAGAATCGTGACCCTTCTTATTTTAAACTAGTAACCACACATCTCAAATGAAGACTCAAGCCTGTCAGGCCATGTTAATAATTTCTCTATAATCCTTCCACGGTGGTGTCCCTGTTGTCCAAAATTACTCTTACTCGTATTTTCTCCTGCAGAATTTCAGTACTCACCCTTCAGTCTTCTCCTTTCCCTTGAAACATATTTTACTGAAAGAATACATGTCATCTTCACCCCACTGAAGCTCTGATACCCTCTCTTTGGGCCAGTTCCCCACCACAACATACACTTGGCCTATTTCCCATGTAACAGCTCTGACACACCATGTGGAACCACTGTCCAGGATGGCACAAGCTATTTACTATCCACTGCTAATTTAAAGGTTGGCACTTTGGACCGACAAGCCGGTGGAAGCAAGGTAAACTGCTTCCATATTCTTTCTTTTCAGAGGCTGTAAATCCCACAGGAGGAAAGTGTTTATCTTTTTCCCCCTTAGACCAGTTAAGTAGATTCAAACCACTTGCCTTTGTATTGACAGAACAACTCCCTATCCACTGGTCTACCAGAGCTTCCTTCATAAAGACTACAGCCAAGAAAACTTTCTATGGTGCAGTTCTACCTTGTTAAATCATACAGTCATCATAAGTTGGAGTTGACTCAGCAGCAACTAATGACAATTTAACCCAAGCACTTAGCTTTGAACATGGTACATATACAACTAATAGTAATTGCAAGATGAATATCATTAATTTTTTAATATAGGACTCCATGTTGATATTTATTAAGGCTTTCCATATGCTTCAAGCCTAAGTCATTCCATTGTAACTGTTTCTGCTATTTAAGTTGTTATTGTTAGGTGCTGTTGAGTCGAGCACGACTCATAGCGACCCTATGAAAAAAACATCTGAACGCTGTTCTATCCTGCACCATCCTCACACTTCCTGACACACAAGAGCCCATTGCAGCATTAACCATATCAATCCACCTGGTTGAGGATCTTCCTCTCCTTCACCGACTCTCCACACTTCCCAGCATCATGTCCTTCTCCAAGGAATAGCACCTCCTAGCAACATGTCCAAGGTACGTGATTGGAAGCTTCATCCTTCTTGCTTCCAAAAAGCACTTCAGGTGCACCTTCTCCAAGACCTATCTGTTCATTCTCTTGTCCATCCATGGAATGTTCAGTGCTCTTCTCCAACACCATAGCTCAAAGGAATCAATCTTTTTCTGTCATCTTTATTCATTGTCTAGCTCCTGGATGCATAGCTAGTAATCGGAAAGACTATAGCAAAGGCAGCTTACCCTTCAAAATGACATCACTACTCCTCAATAATTTGGAAAGTTCCCAAAATGCAGATTTTCCCAGTGCAATGCATCCCCTTATTTCCTGACCATTTTCTGACTTATTTGCTGGTACCACGGGTGTTAATTGTGGACCCAAGTACGTTGAAGGTGTTGACAGATGGTGTTATTTGAAGAGTCAGCCTCAAACCCATGCCATGTGGGGCTTAAAGCATAGGAGTTAGGAGGGTAGAAAGTAGAGATCCCCAATACAAGTGCAATTTTAGGCTCTTGGGCTATTTTTATATGAATAAACTCAGGAAACTGGGGCTGGTTTCTCTGAGGTACATAAAATATAGATCAAGGTAGAGGATACAGACTTGCAGAGTAGCAGTTAAGAAACAGATAGGACATTTCTAAGAAGAGCAGTGGAACAGAAGAAGTTGATTGAAAAGGAAAACCAATGTGTATTGATGCTTTTGTTTAGAGTTTTTCATAAATAACCGTAGTGTCTAATCATTGTCAAAGAAACTCAATTTCTATGTTACTTTGTTTCACTCTAGGACATTTAAAATTCAGAGTGGTATTCTATGTAAAAACAGGGCTTATCAAGTGACACTAATTAGAATTAAGCCCTGAGCATGTTTCTTACTTCAGCTGAGTGGAATAATTTTTTAAAGTATTTTTTAATAAGTGGCTAAAATGTTTTTTTTTATTTTTAATAACATTATAAATTCTCAGTATTAATGAAGTCAAGTAGTTCAGTAAGGCTATGTCCCTTCCATCTGTCCCTCTTCAGATGCAGCCGCTTTCTACCTTTAATTCACCTATATGTAGCTTTTTTTTTTCTTAATGATATGATTTTAAATATTTCGCTTATCTTGCTCCTTCTTGATTTTTCCATTTTGTGGTACTGAATTCTCACTATGAAAAGTTGAGAATTAATCTCTCTAACCTCCACTGTTTTCCAAAGCCCATCATTGCAATGTAACTACATACTTTTGTTGTTGTTAGGTCAGTATTCAGAGTTTGTATAGTATTGTTTTGATTTATAGTGCTGTTGTTATGTGCTGTCGAGTTGATTACAAGTCATAACGACCCTACAAACAGCAGCTCTGAACCTTGCCTTACCCTGAACTCACCTTGCTAACTCTGACACACCTGACCCGTTGCACCGTCACTGTGTTAATCCTTCTCATTCAGGGTCTTTCTCTTCTGCGATGACCTCCTACCCCTTCAAGCATATCTTTCTCCAAAAACTGGCTCCTTCAGACAACACGCCCAAAGGCTGTCAGATGGAGTTTCAAAACCTTGCGTCTAAGGAGCAACGTGGATTCACCATCTCCAGAACAGATTTGTTTGTTCTCTTGGCAGTCCATTATATATTGAATACTCTTTTCTAGCACCACAACTCAAAGGTATTGATGATTTTTCTAGCTTTCTTAATCATTGTATAGCTCTCAGGTGCATAGCAAGCAATTGAGAAGACTATGGCTTGGATAGGATACACCTTGGTCTTTAGACTGACACCATTGCCCTTTAGTATTCTGGAAAGGTCCTTGACAATAGATTTTGTCAATGTGATTCATCCTTTGATTTCCTGACTGCTGTTGCCAAAAGTGTTGATTGCGACTCCAATTAAGATGAAATTGTTAGTAATTTCAAATTTTCTCCACCTATCATGATGCTGCTATTGGCCTGGTGATGAAGATTTTTGTTTTCTTGATTTTGAGATGCAATATATTTTGAAGGCTGCAGTCCTTCATCTTCTGCAGCAAACTCTTTAAGACGTACTCAGCTTCAGTGAGCAAGGTTGTGTCATCTGCATAGTACAAGTTGTTGTTGAGTCTTCAATCCTGTTGTCAATAATTTCATCTTTCTTGGATCCACAATCAATATCTTTGGTATCTGTTGTTAAGAAACCAAAAGATGTGCGGCATTGAGAAAGTCTGCTGTCAAGGACAGATCTCTCCAAAATACTAAGAAGCAAAGGTGTTAGTTTCAAGAATAAAATGCCTCTGATCCAAGCCAGAACTAGTGAAGATTGAAGCAGGATAGAGCAGAGGTTCATAGGAAGTAATTAGCAGAGTCATTAGTGGAGGTCTGCATGAAAAGGAAAAAATTGTGGGAGAGATTAGCTAGTATATGTGGTCTATGGCAAGGTTGTTGTTGTTAAGTTCCATTGAGTTGTAGAGGACTCATTGCGACCCTATGAACGAAAGACCTGAACACTTATATACCTTTCATCGTTTTTCAAGTTCATAGTGTTTCTGGAGGCAAGGTATTCAGAAGTGGATGCCACTCCTGCTTCCAAGCTTGTTTTAATCGGGGAGCGATACCAAACACTGTCCACCATGGGTAACAGCTATCACATTTGGCAAGGTATTGCCTCCAAAAGGTGATTTCTCGAACGAAGCGAATTGATCTGGGCAGGTGACATTGTTGCTGTTATGTGCTGTTGAGTCGCTTGTGACTCATAGCGACCCTATGTACAGTAGCCCTAAACCCTGCTCTATCCTCTGCCAATCTCACTGCCTCTGAGACACCCATCCCGACTACCCCAGTCACTGAACCAATCCACCTCATAGAGGGTCTTCCCCTCCTGTGTGGTCCCTCCACCCTCCCAAGCATGATGTCCCTCTCCAAGGACCAAGGACCTGTCCCTCCTTACAACATGCCCAAAGTATGTTAGACAAAGCTTCAGAATCCTTGCCTCCAAGGAGCATCCCGATTTAATCCTCTCTAGGATTAATCTGTTTATTTTCTTGGCAGTCCATGGTACATTCAATACTCTTCTCCAGCACCACAGCTCAAAGGCATCAATTCTCCTTCTATCCTCCCTAGTCATTGTCCAACTCCCTGACGCATAACAAGTGATTGCAAAGACCATGACCTGTATCAGATGCACCTTGGTCTCCAGAGTGACACCATTGCCCTTCAGTACTTTGGAGAGGTCCCTAACAGCAGACTTTCCCATCACAATACGTCTTTTAATTTCCTGGCTGCTGATGCCAAAAGTGCTGACTGTGGAGCTAAGCAAACTAAAGTTATGAACAATCTCAATCTCTTCACCATCCAAATGTTGCCAATTGCTTCAGTGGTGAGAATCTTTGTTTTCTTGATATTGAGCCTCATTCCATATTGAGAACTGCCAGAAGTCCAGGCTGGGTTTAGAAGGGGCCGTGGTACTAGGGATATTGCAGCTAAAGTTAGCTGGATGTTAGCGGAAAGCAGGGAGTACCAGAGGAATGTCTGTGTTTCATTGATTATGCAAAGGCATTTGACTGTGTGGATCATAACAAACTGTGGCTGACTCTGAGAAGAATGGGAATCCCAGAACACCTGATCGTGATAATGCGAAACCTATACTAGGACCAAGAGCCAGAACAGAGCAAGGAAACAGTGCATGGTTCAAAATTGGGAAGGGTGTATGCCGGGGATGTGTCCTATCTCCACACCTTTTCAACCTGTAGGAGGCTGGGCTCTATGAGAAGTGTGGCCTCAGGATTGGTGAAAGATCTCTCAACAGTCTGCGTTATGCAGATGACACAACCCTGTTTGCTGAAACTGAGGGCAGGTGACACAGAGATTGAGAATTTGCAAATTAAAAACGCTCAAACGACTCCGAGCCAGAGATGCCAAAGGCGCGCACGCGGGGTGGGGGGAGCGCGCGCACGCACACACACACACACACACACACACACACACACACACACAGTGTGTTGTTGTGTGCGCGTGCGCGTACGCTGCGCCTGCGCACTACGTGGCCGGTGCCTGCGTTCCTTTCCGCTCTCCTCCCACGTGGGGCTGTTCGGGCTTCGGCGACAGTCAGCCGGAAGGAGTTGTCGGTTCCCTAGTTCCGCGAGCCCGGCGATTCGCCCTCCCTCAGTCGGCAACCTTCCACGTGGGGCCGCGCGGGAGGAGCGGAGCGGGGCCTTTGAGGGGAGCGGCGATCCCGCCGGCCCCGGTCTCTTTCCCTAGCGGAGGCGGCGGCTTCTTCCGTAGGACAATATGTTCAAGAGAATGGCCGAATTTGGGCCTGACTCCGGCGGGAGAGTGAAGGTCAGTGCCAGCCCACAGCTCCCTTCAGCGGGCGCGCGCAGACTCTGGCCCCGCCCAGCGCGGCGCGGGGAGGGCCGGGTGGTTTCCCGTTCGCGCCTTCTCTCCTTGAATTTGAGCCGTGGTTTAAAGGCGGACGGTGAGCCAAACCCGTGCCTGAAAAGTCATTGGACCCGACTAAGCTGCGTCATTACCTCCTTTCCCCACCAGAAAATCCAACACCGTCTGGATGACCTGTTTGGAGCTGGCTGTTGTTGCAGGGGAATCGGGCCCCTTGAGGGATCCCGGCGTGCTGCTCCCCCGCCGCCTCCCCGAGTCCTTGGCAGGCGGGGTGGATGGCAAACGATAACAAATACTCCATAAGCACTTAATCTTTGCCCGACTTGGCCAAACGCTTCACTCCATACTCGGGTTTAGCCGCCACCATCACAGTACCAGTCAGTAGTAGCCCGCATTATATATTTATAGATGGGTTGCCTTTACAGCGGGCTGGAGCATATCGGAGGCCAGGAGGATAGCGCAGGATAAGGCGCGAATCATGGTTCATAGAGTGGCCAAGAGTTGGAGTCGACTCAGTGGCACATAACAACACATATACAAGTGTCAGAAACGAAAGGGTAAAGAGAGACATTCCCAAGTTGATGGTGGTGGTGGTGGTGGTGTTTTGTGCTGTGGAGTCGCTTGCGACTCATAGTGACCCTAGGTACAACAGCCCTAAACTCTGCTTGTCCTGTGCCAATCGCACTGTCTCTGACACTCCCATCCCGATTATCCCAGTCACTGAATCAATCCACCTCATAGAGGGCCTTCCTCTCCTG